ATCATGATTCACAAAACTGTATCAGAGTTTGCAAGATATTTCAAATTAAGAATATCAAAATGGTTTAGAATTACAGATTAAATATTTCTAAAACAAACTTGCCTTGCGAGCTTCTGTGCCACACCATAAGCACTTGACTTCTGTATAATGAAGCTCTATCTGTTTACACCTAAAATTAAAAATATACAACTTAATTCTTTGATATGGGACATATGAAATAATTCAACAAATACATAAATCCAAACAGTTGATGGATTCTATGGAACAGTCTGTTACTCAGTAACAAGCGTATTAGAGCTTCGGAAACTTTACAGGAGGCTTGTTTAGTTAAGTCCAAACAATGTTGGTCATGAGATCAATTTCAATAGATCTGGCCGAAGACCAGCTAGTAGAATCTTATGATTATATACAAAGGTGAATGTAAGGACGCATATAAAAATTTGGGTTTGTGTTGTAAGGTTTTCCAAAAAATAATATTATGTTGCAAAATGTAATATTTACAGTGTGTTTATAATGACTTGTATAGCAACATCATATCCAAAATATCCTTACCTGGCTTCGTTCCAAGAGTCGCCTTTAGGACATTTGTGCTCCACCATAACCGTATTGACCTCCAAATGTAACGTCCTGTTGAAGATAAAGACCAGCTCCTTTGTTCTTGGAACCCTAAAAGTCAAGATTCTTATTTTAAAAGTAGCTTTGGGAAGTTATTTGCAAACAGTAATAAATACTTTTAAAAAGACTAGAGGAATATATCCATTGCCTTATCTGGAAGTTCTAAGCAAAAAAATAAATCTTTCTGTTAATTCTATAACATTAAAGCTATCTCAAAGTAACCTGGTAATGAAAATCTTGAAAACTACCTCTTTAATTATGTATATCAAATGTGAATAACATCATTTGGCCAATATCTCTGCTCATGGACAATCAATTTTCAAAGGTCACTCTTGAATTGATTAGTTTTAAGCCCTTGCGTCCGAGACTAAATGATTTTTTGAATCAAAGCTTTTAACTGTGGTATCTGTCATTAGCCAGGCAAGTCATGCCTCTTGTAACACCCCTCTGCTAATGGAATTATCATATATGTACCCATTTCAGAGAGAAAGATCCCATGGTAGTTTTAGCTTTTTCATTCCACAGTAGGGGGCTTGTTCTTGAAATGGATTTTAAGAGATCAATCAGATGATTGGAACACCAAAATCATCGTAAGTTAAATTTTCAAGATTAATGCTCCAGTACACCTTCAAGGGATACAGAAAATGAACAAGAATTTTTCAGGGTGGATTTCACAAAATTTCACAGAATAGGAATTGTGATTTAAATTGAAATATGTAGGTAGGTACTGACCGTGCTACGTTGATCATCTAACTGTAAGTGGTGTATGTCAAACCCAATAGTAAAGACCGCTATCGAGTTCCCGTCGACGGCTGAAAAAAACAAAAGACAACATTGTATTGAGTCGAAATACCATATAATTTAGTATCTAAGGACATATTCTATTCATTTTTGGTTTATTTGGCATGGTTATTGAGCCATGGGATACGGAATCCACTGAATTTTTGCAAATTGATATATATTTCTGAAAATTCACACAGCTAATAATATAATGGTAGTATAATTTCAATACATCAAGATCTATGATAAACTTACAAAAAATGGGTGAAGGCATCGCCAAATCTGTTCCTCTTCATCTGTTCCTCTTCATCTGTCCTCTTCATCTGTTCCTCTTCATCTGTGAATAGGAGGAATGAAGAGTCATACAGGCCATGACCTCAGAACACTCCTATTGTGGCAGTGCTATTGCGGGTGGGTAAATTACCAGACGATTTACCCTTTCTAACCTGAAAAATATAAATACATAATTGCAAATAATTTTAAGTAATTTGTTAAAAACAAAAAACAATGTGTGAGAGGCCATGAAACACCCTTAAAATAGAGATCACAATTTGGCGTCATCATTCTATATAGGGTCTTGATTGGCTGATTACTCATATTGTAATATTGTTGAA